AACATGTTTTAATTCAAATCAATGAAAATGGTTGAAATAATCGAATTCTGTATGTATTTACCGGTGACTTTGGCAGTCGTAACACGTTGAATCAGTGCTTTCATTTTGAATTGTTTTTATCTTCCTAAATATTGCTTAAAGAAATAAATTAAAAGTAAGAAAAACAATTCCAACGTGTTGGTTTTGTTGCTACAGAAAAGAGGTTCTGTGTTATGGTTGCTTTGACAGTTGAGCACTTCGAAATAAAGTGTCAAATCGACTGACACTGACGTTTCTGCAAACATAAAAATAAACACAAATGCACGCATCGCAATGTTTACCTCAGCTTAAAATTAGTTTTACGTTCTAAATTTGTTGGAAAAATAAGAAAAATAGTGATGGAAGTCACTTGCTATGTTTGTAATAATCGAACAAAAGAATGGACGCAAAATCTTGCTGAAACAAAGTCCAAGCACTCTGGCACGCCGATCACTGTGTTCATCACTGGATTCCTCAAGGATTATATCTCTCTGCGAGATATAAATGATGTGACCAATTGCATTTGTTCGGATTGTTTGAGTCGCATTTACTCGTACGATTGGATGATTTTGAAGGTGAAAGAGCAGGAAAGGGAATTCCATATGTTACTTATGTCGACGGAAAAGAATTTTATCAGCAGTCGGATCAAAACAGAGGATTTAGTTGAATCGAAAGCAAAGATTGCGAATGGACGTAAATTCAAAGATGAGAGTAGCAAAGAAGTTAAGCCTGTATCAGGCACCGAAGCACGGCAAACCGACACTCCCGGGGACAATGTAAAGAGGAGCAAACCAATCGTTGTACGAGTTGTAAAACGAGTTCCATTTCTCAAATCGAAACCAGTAGCTCTAGCATCAATAACATCAAAAGCTCCAGCACCAATAGAACCAACAGCTCCAATACCAGCCAGTCTGAGTGAGCCGCCGTTGAAGAAACGAATCATTGAGCCAGAAACAAACATAATACAAGTTTCAGACGGGGATGTGTCTCAAAGATCATTTGTTGAGGATATGTCTCAAGACGCTGTTCGAGATCAATGCCTAGAAACTGTTGAAAATGCCAAAAATGCCGAAAATGTTGATAGTCAGTCAAGATGTTTTCGATGTTTGCCTAGCTTCAAATCATCCAAAAATACCAAAGGCAAAGGATACTTTGATAGTTGGGAAATAGTCACTAATCCGAGCATTTTATCAAGCAATCAATTGAAACGATATTGCACATCGTGCAAACTATTTTGTAAGAAAACCAAATATTACGAGGTGATTTTTCGTTGCCATTTTGTTGCTATTGTATGAGAACATTTTTGCGTGGCTTCCACTTTATTTACTTTTTTGTACTTTTACCAGAATCATATGGCGAAGCACCAACGAACATGTGAGCTGTGTGACATAACTTTCAAAGCGGCCGATGAACATGCGGTAAGTGTTGAACGGAGCTTGGAGAGAAGATATTTTCAGTGGATTTTGCTTAAAACAGCCAAATCGCTTTATTCTTCAATATTTTTGATTTTACCGATTTTCTCATGATTTTTCCTCTTTCAAAAGGTTCACATGGTATGGCATAAAACGCCGGAAGGTCTAATGTGTCGAATCTGTCAATTTAAATTGCCTAATGAAGACGAACATCGAAAACATTTAGATTTACACGAAGGAAAATCGGATCGTCATTGTGTTATTTGTGATAAGGGTTACGCTACGAAGGCGATTATGAGAACTCATGTGAAAAACCATGTAAGTTAATTGGCATTGATTGATATAAATATTACAACTAATTGAAATGGTTGTGTCTTTTATGATCGTTGAACAGGGTGAACCAGAAGTTCTGTGCGATCTTTGTGGGAAAGTATTTTACGGCAAAGACACACTGAAGGTACATCGAAGACTTCACATTGATGAAAAACAATTCGAATGCACATTCTGTTCGAAAGCCTTCAAAACCATGCAGTATTTACGTACTCATTTGCGAATTCATGTAAGCATTTTATTTTTTCAATCGGAGGTTTTTTTTTCTTCTAAATCAATAATTAATTTAAAATTATTACTATTGAATCGTTGCTGTGATGGCTGTTATAATTGATGTGAATTAGATTGAAGTTGAATTTTAAATCAAACTTTGTTGCACAGTGTTGTCAAAGCAATCAATTGAAAGTCAGCAAAGCTACTTTTCATCAAAGTTCTACAATTTATCGACCATTGTGGTTCAAAAAACCAAATTAAAATTACGATTTTTTCCGCTATTCACAGACCTCCACAGAACGACCATTCAACTGCTCATTTTGCGACATGAGTTTTAAGCTCAAGGACCACTGGAGGTAAATCGATTTTGAATCCTACATTATATCTTTCAAATTTTAATTATTGATGTATTTTTTCTTAAAGGGCTCATGAAAGACGGCACATCGAAAATACAAAAACGGTAAAATGCACACTTTGTTCGGCGGCTTTTGAACACAAATTCCACCTGAAGCAACACATGGAAAGGAGACACAGATCTGAATAACCACAAGGAACAACTGAGAAAACATATTTTTTTCTAAAACTAGAACATGACGAAATATGTATTGAAATATTCATTAAATATAGTCCATGAAGATACTCTAATCCTAAACGTGAACTACTATAGTGAATTACTATCAAAAATCGTCAAAACAAAACTTATATGTAGGTTTTGGTACTACATATGAAATACAAAGCTATTGTTCTAACTGTTCCAGTCGTATATGGATAATATTGTAATTTTGATTCTATTATTCAGCGCACTTGCTCATCATTTTATTAGCTTGAATGTATAAAGCAACCCAAGATTTCTCTATATGCTAAAAATATCGTTGGTCATCTTTTCCAAACAAACGAGATTTTGAACAAATATTTTTTTAGTTTGATCAGTTTCACTGTGACTAAAAATGACGACACACAACGTGTGGTTTGGTAGTAATGAACTTGCTCTAAATATCAATATAGTATTGGAATCGCTCTGTTGTAGAAAAAAATAAATGAATTTAACTGAAAATCTATCCGAGAGGGGTTCTGTGTTGTGGTTATTTTGACAATTGAACATTCTAACGTATAGTGTCAAATCGAGTGACATTTCAACAAACAATAGAAATTCATGCAATTTCATTTACTTTGGCCTAAAATTTTAGTTTAACGTTATAAATTCATTAGGAAAATAAGAAAAATAACAATGGAAGTGATTTGTTACGTCTGCAATGAGCAGACCGACGAATGGCGTCGAAATTTTACCAAACTCAAGTCACAACATTCGAATACGCCGATTGTTGATTTACTCAAGCGATTTCTCGACGACTTTGAATCACAGCGAAACATTGAAAGCGAATCGAATTGCATTTGTGCAAAGTGTTTGAATCGCATCGATGACTACGATTGGATGTATGTCACGTGCTCGGAGAGGGAAAAAGAGTTGAAGGAGCTTCTTTGGGCCACAGAAAAATCGCACATTTATCAAGCAACTGTATTGCTTCCAGAACCGGAATATGCATTAAATCCAGATGTACTGCCAAAAGAAATTAAAATTGAACAGGATTGTGAGGTTAAAGAAAACGAACCAAATGAACTATGGACAATCATTGAAGTAGTGCAAATGCAACCGAGACAGTCTCCGTCAAGAGAAAATGAAATCAGTGAGCCACCGTCAAAGAAGCAAAGTATTGAACCGAACTCAAATGAGAGCAAAACTCCAGTCGAGTACAAATATACTGTACTTGAACGACGTTGTCAGCCAAATCCAAAATCAAAAAACCCATTGATACCCAGCTATCAAAAAGATCTTGAACGAACGACGACACAGAGAAGACACGAAGAAATTTAAATGTAGCATTTGTCCTGCGGCTTTCGAATCCAGACACGATTTGAATCTACACTTGCAACGGAAACACGATGCTGAAAAACCACACGATAGAAATCGGCGATAAATTCAAACATTGACTGATGGTTTTAGGCATAAGCCAGTGACAAAGCGATAGCTAATCAACACAAGTAATTGTAAAATAAGTACTTAAAATTACTTTGAACACAGAAAAAAGACATTGTTCGTATTATTTAATTGAATATTTTGACAATTTGCATTATTGCCCATCAGAAGTAGATGAACAAAAATGTGTTATATAGAAAATACATTAGATTGATTGAGGGCAGCTCAAATAAATTATGGATTAGACATTAATTCATTTGGATGGATTCGAAAAGTTGAATGAAAATTTCAAGAAAAAGCTCTTACTCTTTAGAATTTACTGATTTAAATTTTTTTTTTGTTCCTGTGAATTTATCAATTTGAATTGAATTTGTCATTCCCATATAAATACTCTGTACTAGGATTATAATTGATGGTTCCAAATATCAATAAATTTCAACAAATGACAACTCAAAACCGAAGTGTATTTTGTAAACTGGTTGAGCTGCCGAAATATATTTAATTTTTTTTTTAATTTCGTTCATTTTATGAATTTCTAAAATTATTTTAAAGCTCATTATCATCATTTTTCAGATCCAACTCAGAAAATTGAAAATAAAAACAAAGAGAACTAATTTTAGTGCAAAAAGTAGACAATTTGACATTGAGCGCCTAAAGCAGAAAAAAGCAAATGTCAAATGTTTTGACAAATCAACTGTCACTTTATTAATATCGCCGAGTAGAAAGTTAACACAACCTTGTTCTAAAGCAAAACATTTATTTCTGTTGAATAAGTTTGGAAAATAAGTGAAAGATTTTGAAAAATCTCTTCTGATCTCTTCAAAGTGTGTAAATCTCCAAAGGTAAGCTAGAATCGACGAGAACTAACATGATATTTTTGAGAGTAGCTTAATATTTTTACAACTTCATCCATTTTTTTTTCTTCATAAATCTCTAGGTACAACCTTCTGATTGGCTAAAATTCGATGCAATGGATGTGATTTGTTATGTTTGCAATGAGGAAACGAGGGATTGGCATCGAAATCTGGTTGAAACTAAATCAAAGCACACTAAAACACCAATTGTTACGTTCATTGTTCAGTTTCTGGACGACTATGTTTCACAGCGCAATGTAAGAGACGAGTCACACTGCATTTGTTCAGAATGTTTGCGTCGAATTTACACGTACGATTGGATGTGTTTGAAGGTGAAAGAGCAGGAAAAGGAATTTCGAACATTGATTCTGAAGAGTGAAACAAGTTTTACGAGCAATCAGATCAAAAGTGAATTCGAATTTGTTAATCCAACAGAAATGGTCCAAGTGGATTACGATCAAGAAGATTATGATGATATTAAGACCGAGTCAATGAATGCAGATGATAGCCCTGATGACATTGTGACAATTGAAGAGATAAAAATTGATCCGGATACTGTTGGTGAAAGTATACCAGATGACGATGACGACGATTGTGATGATGATGACGATTTTAGCGATGATGATGATAATGCTGTCGATTCAGATGAGGAATTCGTTCCCAAAGTCAGCTCAATGCAAAAGAAACAACCAAAAAAGGCACCGGTATCAACAACTGCTTCGAATAATTGTTTGAATTCGAAAATTTGCGAAATTTGCGGCGAAAAATTGAAACACGAGACAACGATTAGGGTAAAATGGAACAATTTCTTTAATTTTTGTTCAAAAAATTATTTCGAGGAATGATTGGATTTTTTTTTTTTCAATGACTTCAATTCTTCAACATTTTTCCAATGAGTTCTAATTTTTTTTAAATTCAATATCTATCGACAGTCCCATATAAAAATTCACACAAAATCCCCTGGAATGTTTACGTGTCACGTCTGCCTGTATGAAATAAGTGATAAGGAAAAGGATAAATTCAAGGATCATGTGAGAAAGCATACAAAAATCGCATCCAAACAGTGTGTCATTTGCAATGAAGGAGGAACGGAGAATTTTGACTTGAAACATCATGTCCGGAGCCAGGTGAATTGAACTTACCTCTGATTTTTTTTCTTTTTTTTCTCTTCTATTCGTTGTTTTTTATTCATCATTTTTTGTATTTCAATCAAAAATAATGGAAAATTTACCTTTTTTCAGCACAACACTACCTTGTCTTGTGATACGTGTGGTAAATCATTCGTGTACGCTTCGGTACTGCGGTTACATTTGCGGTCACACATTGAAAACCTACCAGAAAAGTGCGAGCATTGCAAAAAATCATTCCCGGACAAAATTACTTTGGAAGAGCATATGAAGACTCATGTAAGGAAATGGATTATTCAAAGCTATTCGTTTGCTATACTGAATTTCTACTACCAGAAGTGCTTAAACAATTGCGACTCTATTTCGTTGCATCTTGGCAGTGGTTTCTGCCAGTAGCCCACTAGGAGTGGCAAATGAGAATGGCTTTGCAGATTGAAAAATTTATTTTTTTCTCCAAAAATGTTCCACTTCATCGAAAAATTTCTTAAATCCATTCAGCACAACATTGTTCATCATGGGCAGCTCTATACAACAACAACATCGACAGCAAATCCATTCATTACATTATCATTTTTCTTTGATACAGGTCCAAGCGGTGTGCACATTTTGTGGTAAAAAATTCACACGGAAACAAAAATGTAAAAAACATGAACTACGACACACAAATGAGTCAAAAAAGTTCAAGTGTTCACTTTGTCCGGCTGCTCTCGATACCGAACGCGGATTGAAGTTGCATTCACTTCGGAAGCATGGTGGAGATAAGGACTTAAATCATAAGGAGTGATAGGAAAGGTGCTTCCATCACTATGACGAAGCTCGTATAACAAGAAAATAGGCATGTGCCTGCATGGTCTACTGACCATTGAATAAATAAAATAAATATAAAATGTGGAATTGAACAAAATATCATATCGATTGAAACGAAAAATCGAAGAAAAAAAAAACAAAAGAGAAGATTACACAGTCAAAAATAAATGTCCACATTTAGGCGAAATTTCGACTGGTAGAGGCGCCCAGTCCTATATTTTGCCTAGAAAACGGAGTTTCAGACGAAATACCGATTAGATTATAAGCAGAATTTCGCCTGCAGCTCAAATTACTAACAGAAATATCGGCTGAATGCGTCTTCAGCTGAAAAAACGCTCAGGTGTAGACTTTTATTTTTTGCTGTGTAGAGTCGATTGAAAATAATAACGAAAAGCTGTCAAAAAATCTTTATAAGTGTGAAAAATGTCTAAAAGAGTAATTAACTAATAGAGACCAATTCTATTAGTAGATGTAAAAGAACGCAAGTTTGTCCAACTTCGTAGCAATAAAGAGAAGTATGTATCATTGCAACTAATAATGGTTAAAAGAATGTTTTTTCGTTTTTGGCGGGTCGTCGTGGTTTTGCACGGTTTTCGCGGAACTGATAAAAGATAATAACTTGGTGTCTTCGGCAAAGTTGTAGTATCCGAGGTCTTCTATAACATTGTTGAAGTCAGTTATCTCTTATCTCTTATCAGTTCCGCGAAAAGCGCGAAAAATGATAAGAAAAGTTCCATATAAAATTTGCTTAGTTATGTGCGCGATTTGCGCGCAACTGATAAGAGATAAGAGATATTTGTCTTCAGCATTGTTATAGAGGACCTCGAGTACTACAACTTTGCTGACCAAGTTGTTATCTCTTATCAGTTCCGCGGAAACCGTGAAAAACCGCGGAGGCTAGACGGGATGCCAACATACTTTCTTTTAACGCAGATAGAATCAACAGAAAACATACTTTCCTTTTCAAAAATATAAATCGAGAAAAAAACATACATTCTTTTACGTCTCACGAATCGTTTCTTTACTGAAATTCTTCATTTTTTTTTATATAAAATAATTATTTCATAAATTTTCATTCCAATTGAATTTCCAAACAATTTTTCGAATTTATTTACTGGCATTTTCATTCTCTTTCTTCGGCGATTCAATTTCAATAGTGACTGGACCGTCATTTTGTATATGAACTTGCATCATAGCGCCAAATTTCCCGTCTTTGATTTTGTCCGCTGAATATTGGTCGCCAAGTTGCTGCAGAACAAAGTTGTATAAATTCGATGCATCGGCACCTTGCATGGCCAAATGGAAATCCGGCTTGTTCCCCTTCAGCCGATTGTACAAAGTAAATTGACTAACACAAAGTAATTCATACTGCAAGTCCTTAACACTCTTCTGCCACCGTTTGCCGGCATCGTCGTCGAATAAACGAATACTTAACAGTTTACGGGCTATGTAATTGGCGTCTTCCTTTGTGTCATTCTGAGAAATACCAATCAAAACACATAGTCCACGGCCAATGTTACTCACGAGCTCATCATTCACTGAGAAAAAAAATGTATTCAATGTTACTGGGAACATGTTTTAATTCAAATCAATGAAAATGGTTGAAATAATC